TATATATATATATACACTTCATAATACTGCCACGTTTTACTGCGTGTGACTATAGCCTAAGTTAAAATTGGATAACTGGATTTACTGACAACTTTACACACCACTAGGAACTAAAGACAATTACAACGTTATCGTCGATCTACACACTTTACAGGTCACCGTTACACACATTAGTGTCCTCAGTCTTCACTAGTCGTATTCTGGCAACGGATTTCAACACACGAATTATATTATTCTCACTGTAACTACAGCATCCATAAAGTCTTTTTTCACAGCCTAATTCCTTTCTTGTCACCTATTCTTAATTATCTTCGACTACCATCTAAAAAGACTCCTTCAATTCTAACTTCAGCTGGCCTGAGATCCTTATTATATAGCTTCGCGCGGATCCAACAGAAAACGTAGTTTCTTAACAATTCCCAACAACCTTACCATTGCATAGAAACGGTAGTTTTCTATTGTGTGTTCAATGCCGCGGGAACCTGTTTACCGAGTACTTGCCAAGCAATGAACGTCTATTCTGGCTCCGCTATTTCAGCTTTCAGGTGTCATGTCACAAGACCGTTCTTAAATAACCTAAGAATAAATGAAGCAGTAATTCTTTGAACGAGTCTGGTCAAGACCACTTCATCTCTTGCTATAATAAAATAATCCTGGATATGGTTATTAAGAAAACATCTTAAGAGATTTAGAATTACTATACAGATTACAATAACTCGGATTATTGCAACCAACATCATTACCCCGAAAGCTCTGTTTATATCTTTTATTCACTCGAAGTGGTATGGGTTTTTGGTCTTCTGCGACAAATCATCATTCTGCCGATGTTCCATGCATATCTCAGAGAGTAACAATTTTGTATTAATGAAATCGTTTAAACCGAAGGACTTCATACAGACTTAGTCTTCCAAGAACTAATTGTTTAAAAATTAACAAAATCTTCATACAACCTCAAAGTGGGTATTGGGTTTCATAACATACAATTTCCCATTTTCCTGGCAAATTAGATCAATGGGTCAAAAATACCAAACGTAAATACCACTTCTACACCCCTGAATTCCAACTATCCATACGTGAGTAAGCATGGACCACAGAAATGCTGACACCCCTTGGCACGTGGCTGAATGTACCACAGATCCCCTCAACCACATAATCGATTCGTATTAGCAACCCGGCGCAGGGGAGTGCACACAACTAAGTTGCTATGCAACGCTATTGTTACGAGGATAACTAGTTGCATCTCTTGCCAACTGCAGTTAAATGCATACGAAATAACACTTCGAGAATAATATAGTTCATCTATTTATCTGTTTATTTTTATTCTGCGCTCATATCATAGCCATAAGACACTATGCTACAAGCCGGAAGGTCGCGGGTTCAAATACCGATGAGGTCATTGCATTTTCTTCAGTTTACGTAATCCTTCCGCCCGCACTATGGTCCTGGGGTTCATTCAGCCTCTAACAGAAATGAGTACCAGGAATTAA